ATAAAATTGTTTTGTTCTAAAGGTATGTACTTATCCCCTATGTACCCAGACTCCGTGGACACCCTGTATAATTATTTTATTTTCTCTCCTGCGCTCCTCCTCCCCGTCGATGCTCGAGTCGTATAACTTCCATTACCATCGGGCCAGCATTATAGACTTCATGGGAGTTGGTTACCATTATGCTACCTTAAAGAGATTGTTATCAAAAAGACTAACAAAAAACCCTCACCGAATAAAAGCAATTCGAATAAGAAAAGTACAATAAAATAACCCTGTCCATATTGTCATATGAATGTATTATCTAACGCACAGAGGGTTACTATCCTCAGCTATGAAATCATAGAAAAACAGGCCAGGCTATGTATTTTAAACACAGGGAGCTTATATCTATCCTATCCTTGCCTATTTTAAAAAAAAATACTTCCAATTTCGTTGCTATACATATAGGCCTGCACGAATAAATTTGGCGGCAATTGACTTATTTTCGATATTTTGCTGCACACATTTCACTGCCTATCCGTGGTAAGGTCCCACTCCTAAAACCCCCCATTACCACTATTCCCGTTTTACACGATCCTGGAGCTAGGGGCGATTAAGTGCGGCCCATATAGCCTACGGTTTGGTGTTATCAGCCTCACGTCAGTCAATGTATTTTTAACTGTCCGTAAAGCTTTTAGCCTAGGGTCATTTGTTATATGTGGGCGTGGGGGTGTCCATAACAATAATAGTAATTTGAGAGTACCAAATTAAGATGCTCCACTGACTCACTACCTCCGGGTCGCCTGAACCCCTTCTGGCAGGCTCTTCGTGCATGCTCACCCCCGTTTCAAAGCCTCTGGAGCTCGACATCCAACCGCCCGGACCAAAGTTTGTGAAATCCGAGCCAGTTTTCCGCTTCAGGATTCGACTGGCTGTTCTGCGTCTGCCCCAGCTTACGTCCCCCTCCAAGGTGCTCTTGGGTAACGTCCGGGAGGCGGCATCGCCTCCCGTCAACGACTTATCCGGAAGCGGGGTTGCAGGTGGTCCGCCCTGGAACACACTCCACCAGAACCAATAGACTAGGCTCAGTAGGGCGTGGTAGAAGGCGTTGCCGAAGAAGAGGAGGAGAAAGAAGCTGCTGAGAAAGCTGATACCAGCACAGAGGCCCAAGGTGCCGCCAATGTCTGCCATCAGATTAAAGGCCGACTTTGTGAGCTCTTCTTGCCAACGGTCGACGCGCTCCCGCACCAGACGAATGTCCACGACTATGAGTTCATCGGCCGGCAGTCCAGCTTCGGCGTTCGTATAAATGCCCTCCAGACGCGAGTTTTTCAACTTGCTTTCTTTCAGACTCTTAATGTAGGTGGCAAGTGCAGCTGGTGGCAACTGGAATCCTTCGTGAAGCCGTTTTATCTCGAAGTGTTTCGTGTCGTAAATCATCTGAAAGAAGGAGAAACCTTTGGGGAAAGTATGCTTAAATTATCTTTTCAGCCCGTCTGACTGGTACAGTGGAAGGTGAAGAAAAGCAAACTTTTCAAAGTAGTTGCCACTTTAAACTACGATTTAGAAGATCACGTCCAGTAAAATAACCGGAAATCGACATGAACATACGCTATATTTCTAAACAACTATACTGCATTGTTCGCAAAAAGACGAAACGGTTGATCCTTACTGATTAAATCTCTTCTTCGCATAACAATGTGCCTACTCAGCAGCCCCAAGAAACAGCATAGTTTGGCATAGAGAACATGGACAAACCTCGGAATATATTGACGGCATGGCAGGCATACTTCAGGGAAGGTCTTT